TGGGAAACCTTCCGACCCGAAGGCCTTCACTCTTGGCCTTTAGAAGAGTCGCTCGATTGGACTTTCGGCGGAAGATATTCTTCTCGACTAATCCGCCCATTATATAGATATCATTGACATCGAAGTCGATCACGTCTTTGGCGTCGGGACTCAAGTAGACGAGTCGTTCGCGGCTGAAGAGTTCGTTATATGACTTGTCGTGGACTTTGAAGTTATCTCTGGTTTGCATTTGTGGTAAATATTGTCTCAAACACTGCAGAGTTATGCTATCTCTGGACATTTCGTTACAAACGTTAACATTGAATGTCTTGTCATTAGTGGCGGACAAACACGTGTTGAGACAGTATATTGTATACAAATCTCTGGCCAATCGGTGGCACTCATCGGTGGTCATCAGATCATCGAAACTAAGATCAATCACCAGATTCTGGGCAGAAGTGGTCTTCGGCTTGAAATCGCCGGTTAAGGAGGAGATTGTGACCAAACGTGACGCTCGTCTCACTGATTGATGACATGTTTGGCGGCGAAGACACTGTTTGGCCACACGTGACGACAATCGGATCAATTGATGACAATTCATAGCAAAGACACAACTAATCAGTGATTGAATCAAAACAATAAACACAACGAAAACAACAAACAATTCATTCAAACTGTGTTTCAAAACAACTTTACACACAATTTATTGACATTTTTCATACGATTTTCGCACTAATTATTCACAAAATTCATTCATATATTGAACGCAATGTTTTACTATTGACTACAGTATAGGCTATTAAACAATACATTAATTATAATCAAGTATTAAATAGCATTAAAACACATATAAATTGCGTTAAATTTACTTAAAATTAAATAAAATTTAATTTGTTATCATAAAAGTGATGATAATTTGTGATTAAATGGATTGCAATGAATGGCAGTAATAGTGAGGCAATGATTGAGTGGATTATTGCAAACGCGACAAACATTACACATATGTTTGCATTGAGTTTATAGTGTTTTCACTATTTCTACGCTTTTATCGCGTTTTTAATCGCTGTTTGATTTGATTTTATACCTTTAATACCCGATTATCTTCTTCTATACCATCACTTCTTGGGATCAGTTGTTTGTCGTTAACCTCATCAACAAAAATGTCGACCGATTGGGAAGATGTGAAGCGATTGGCCGCCGATTTCCAGCGGACACAACTCAGTGAAACGCTGTTGAGGTTTGCCATTGATTTGTGACACTTGTGTCCACACATGTGTTGACCACTTATTTACGGATCCGTTTGTTTGGCCGCAGACTCTCTGAACGGAATTGCGTGGAAATCATGAAACGGTTGATCGAAATGAAGTTATTGGACGTAATCTTCACCAGCGATGGCAAGGAATACATAACTGAAGAGCATTTGTTGCGCGAGATTGAGGACGAGCTGTTCAGCGCCGGCGGTCGCATCAGTTTAA